TACTTACACTTTTTCTTTACCACAGTTTTACAGCAAGACTGTACAGGCAGTCCTCAGACTTACGACACAATTGGTTCCCAAAAACGGCGTTTTAAGTCGAAATGTTGCAACTTGGAACTGATTTTCCCATAGGAAACAATGTTATAAATGAACCAAGACCCGATACCCTGTTTTCACCAAAAATAACCCAGAATTTTGTACTCAATCAATTAGATGAGTAATATAGCTACATTAATGTATTTATATTGTAAATAGCAATCATAGTGATTTGGAAGGACTTCTTTGAGGTGACTTTGCTGGACTTTTTGCAGGGTTCCTGGCTGGATTTTTCTCAGGCATCTTGGCTGCAGGTTTTTCTGGAGCCTTGTCTGTTTTCTTAGTGTCCAAGGAAGTTTGGACAGATGTTCTCCAGGGAGGTGGATGACACAGTGACTTGTTTGCTGGCGTGGTGTGACATCAGATCAATCATTGTAAAGTCAAAACTGACATCAGAAAGTTGAAACAGGGTGTCAATTTAGAAACTTTGTAAGTGTGAAATGTCACAACTAGAAACATTGTAAGTCAAGGACTGCCTGTACGTTCAAACCAGTTCTCACATTAAGCACATTTTTGACAGTTAAGATAGCCTCTCTCTGCATTGAGAAAAATCTCCCATTTAACATTAAAGGTAGCACAACTGACCTAATTAGTCCAAAAAATGCTCCTTCTTTCCTATGCTCAACAAGGCTTTGATGATGTCAGGCTCTGACCCAAAGCCCACTCTCCCAACCCCTTTTCCTACAGGGGTTGTAGATTGGGCTCCTAGCTCAGGGTCATGGTTACCAAATATACACTAAAATGAAGGGGTCAACAAAAGGCTGAGACAAACTTAAAAATGTGAAATTGAAATTTTCTGCCACATGCATTGCTTGGAAGATGCAAATGTGTGTCAGGAGCTTCCCCTTGATTATCTTGGTTAAAAGGCAGGACCTGGGCCACAGAAGTTCCCCCCAGCCAGCTACATTGTGGTAAAAATCACTACTACATAGATCTTGGCTTGTCTATGTGGGATTATGAAATGACCCAAATAATCCACACCTTTTTATTAGTGCAGGCAGAACAAATGGTGACTTAGCCCTTTGAAGCTGTGTCATCCTGGAGATCCCTGAGGCAACATGGAGTAGGGCATAGTGCACTACAGAAAAGCAGTAAAAATGGAAGTACCTTTGAAAATGTGACCCAATATTTTCTGACTCATGTTTGGCTTGTGAATAAGTGAAAACAAATCAGAAGGGTATTTCTCACTGTGCTTCTTAAGTTATGGATATATATTAAAATTCTATAAAAAAAGTAAAAAACTAAAAACAAAAAAGCCCCAAAAAACAAAAAAAAAAACCCACCCCCAAATCCCAATTGCCTTAACATTTCTTGGTAAGAAGCCAGATTGTCAATAAGGACAATGTAAAAAAAGAACTATCTTTTGTTTATCAAATAACTTCCAATTAGCCAATCTGGCTTCTCACTAAGAAATGGAAAGGCAATAAGTTCTTTTTTTAAAGATATTTTGAAGTTCTCCCCATTTATTATATTTTAGATACCAGAAATTATAAGTCTTTCCTGATTTTGCTTATCTTCATGAGGACTAGAGAACAAAAGTCATACTTTTCATGTGAAACTTGCCCCTGCAACAAAAACCTTTTCTGCATACCTTACAAACAAGAGGTATATTAATGTGTTAAACAGCATGAGTAAAGATCTCTCCTCATCTGCTGAAGACTTCTGTCCTTGATAATTATAATGCCTTAAATTTGTGTCTTCAGTTTTTTGTCAGTAATCCCTTGATTCAAGGATTAACTCTACAATGGTTCATTGATGGGTTTTGAGGTGACTTAAAAGTCCAATCTTTGAGTCACAGATCCATCTGCAGAAGTTGCTGATCTTTCCCCAGAGAGTAAGCCATAGGCCAGGATTTCTCTCCTTTTCCTTCCTTCACTCTGTTTTCTCTGCTGTGAGGGCAAGACGCTGTACCTCAAAGCAGGCTGTCACTTGGTTGAAGTTGCCATACTGTTGGAGTCTGTTAGCTGCCAGCTTCCCCCAGATTTTGATGTTGGTGTCTGTTTCTTTGAGGTATACATTTGTGCGGTAATCTTCCCATTTGATGCAGAGGATTTTCTGGAGGCATCACTGGTGATACCTCTTCAGGTTCTTGAAATGACAGTGGTAGGTCACCCATGTTTCACATCCATAGAAAGAATGGGGATGACAACTGTGTTGTAGACCTGGACCTTGGTGTCTTTGTGGAGATTGCAATCAATAAAAACACACCAAAGTAATTTCCTGAAGGAGGCATTTGCACACCAGATCCTGTGCTGGATCTCCTCATCAGTGTTCACTCAGAAATGTAAGGCAAGTGCTTGACAACCTTCAGGGTCTTTCCCTAGATAGTAGTCTGAGGGGTAGGGGTCAAATTCAAAGCCCACAGCACCCTGAGAGAGTACTTTAATCTTCTCCTCTCTACTGCCAGAGCCAGAGTCACCACAGAGAAGATGAAAGGCATGGGAGATGGGAGGGTGAGACATTCACCACCCCTCTTAGGCTGCACCTGGGGCTTATATGCTGCTTATCCACTCATTGTTAAACTACTGTTTTCAGGCCTCAGATATTATCAAGGATAACCTCTTCCTTTGTAGGTCTCAAGATCTAGTGTCTCTGACATTCTGCCATTAATAATTCAATATCCCAAGCTAACAGATCAGAGGAGCTTCATGGAGATACTCAGAGATTAGATTGGTTATTTGATGTGTCCTCATGTGGCACTCTTACTAGTAATGTAGATTGAAATTTGTAAGAGGAGGCAAACATGGACCTTATCCTCTCAGGTTAATCTGGATAATCAGGTTTAAAGGCAAGATCATAAACTGAACAAGGAAGATCACATTTAATTTCAATTTGAATTTTTCCTTTAAAAAAAAACTTGATATAAGCTACTATAAAATAGTCCTGATGAATGTTTTATTAATTTGCAAGTCATAATTGTTGCCAATATATAACAATTTTTGTGTGAGGATCTCAGAATACTCATTTTAAGTAATCATGTTATTGTTTTACCCTCTCAGAAGTAAATAGAAGTCCTTTATTCCCAACAGCTGTGATGGGAGACCCATTTACAATGTGATAACATCCTAAGAAAGCTGAAGTATGATTTGATCTCACCATTATAAATGGAAACAAGTGGCTGGGCAATGCAGCACAGCCTGCCTGTATCATGGTTCGGTCGTGAGTTCATTGTCAGGACATTTAGTTACCACACTTCTGGTCATTGTCAACAACAATATCAAAATGTAAGTAATTTGCTCAAGATGACAACTAGTCATTGGAAGACCCAAGCAAGAGGGTAGCACTCCTAATTCCCCATTCTGTTTGATAGAATCTTCAAATGCAGACAGATAAAAGAAAATGCATTTTTTGCTACATGGTTTACTCGCTACAAATTTTCTTATCACAGCCTGTGCCCTGAAACAAGCAGATAGGCATCATCAGACAATATAAAACTCAGTCCTGTGTTCTAGGTGCTGATGGCTTGGTTACAGTCACAAAGACATTACAAAGTTACCAAAAAATTCCATTGTTATCCTTATCAGAATAAGTGTGGATGAGTACGAACAAAACTTAACATCAGTTACTCTCACTTCTTGCCACAGCTTGCTCATTGATAAGTTTGCCAAACTATATCAGGAGTAGAAAGAAAAGTTATGTGGTACTCAACCCATCATCATAAAACTCACCCATAAAACAGTCTTGTTCTTCCCTAACAGTGGTAGTGATGAAGTTATGATCTCTCCCTGAACCTTACTGCTGTGGCACTGACCAAGTAAATCAGTGCACAGTTGTTACTGCGCATAGGTACTGCTTATGCAAGTACTAAATGACTGCACAGTAACCAGCATTATTGTGTAGTATCATCACCACACAGTTTTTTTCAGATGCTACTGCACAGTAGCATTGTGTCATGTTTAATGCGTGCCAATGCTACTGTGCAGTTGCATTTTGTGTAGATGTGCCCAAGAGGCCCTCTACAAGACTGGACCCCCAACTAATAAGCACAGTGAAGACAGCCCCTGAACAAGGAGCTTGCAACCTAAAAACATTAGAGGAGAAAACAGATATGGGTACATAATGTCTTGTCTAGGATCAGACAGTACATCAGAAGCATATTCAGGACTAGACCCACAATCTTCATGACGACTAGCAATGTTATACTCCCTGGGCTGCAATACATCTCTCCTCAAGTACCTAAAATTAAGTCTTCATATACACTTGTTCATCAAGTGTATGGCTTCTTAAGTGTCCAGTTTTATTTCATTTCATGAACTGTTGATTGCATGTCTGCTTTTAAGATTTATTTTCTTTCAAGATATGAGTGTCTGAGGGGAACAAGGCAGCCACCACAAATTCCTTTCTCCACGAAGTACACTGTACTGCACAATGGCATGGAGTCACCCAGTGAAGAGGGCAGTGCCAATCAACACCCAGTTCAGTTCAAACCTTGCTCCATTCCTGAACAATCTGTCTGACAATGCGATTGAAAAAAAGGTTATGTTCAATTACTCCGGGAAAAGTCATCAACAGCCACTGAAACTTTCCTTTAAACAGAAACAGCTTGCCTTGTGCTCCTCCCTAGACAAGCAATACACGCTCTTTGGTTCCCACAAAAGGAAAGTTTCAGTGCATCTTGTTTGTTTTAGACAAACACACCATGGCAGTCATGCTAAAGTGCTACAGAACATGCACATGTTGTACAACACAGTGTTCACAAGTGAGGTAACCCCAGCCTCATGCTCTGAAATACCAAGAGGATCAGGATTGGATTAAGGCAATCTAGGGCCCTTGATACAGCACACTATTGGCCCGCACTGACATCCCAACTCAACAGGAATGCAGGGGGTACTTTCCTCCACAGGAATAGGAAAATGACATGCTAACTATTCTAAAACAATAATTTTAGAACCAAAATGTGTTCTCATTAAACTTAACAGGAATTTGTTCGAAGGAGGACCAAGTAAAAAAGTTGCAGGTCAGTCCTTGTCAGGTCTTAAGTAGCAATGTCTATTGATCTCAGAGCTGGTTAAAAATGGCAGTATGATATGGCTCTGAATAAGGTTTTTGGAGTTTGATTCACTGGGAATGAGAGGTGCTGAACACTTCATAGGAGGAGCAATTCTGGGGACTGACAGCCCTGGGTCTAAAGAGAACTTCATAAAAGTAGGTGCACAGAGGTAAAGAACAGCTTAAGTAATTAAGGGGGAAAGTTTTTGTTTAATTGCCAATAGTACCACTTAAACTCATCTTTTTTAGCTAGCAACATTAATAAAACTGACTGCAACATCTTTCCCAAATTCTTTTTAATTACTGAGAAGGAAAGGGAATCAATGAAAATACCTATTAGTGAGTAATATGCTTTTCCTTAAACATTGATATTTTTACTCTATTTTTCAGCGGATTCTTTACTAACCTCCTACAAGTATTCTGGATTTGGGGACATATTGACAAAACAAAGTAATTTAGAGAGATCAAAGCTATTTATAGAAGAATTTCCAATTTACTCAAATACAGGACTAAGTTTTTCTTCCTCCAGCGAACATGGGAGGGGAAAGTCACTTGTCTTATATTTGTATACAAAGAAGCTTCATTAAATACTACATTAGCTATCATTAAATCACTGCCAAAAACATAATGTGCTTAGTAATGGAAGCCATCTATGAAGCTGATTAAATGTAGCCAACACTAAGCATGACTATAAAATATATGGCCCATGTTAGGCAAATATACTGCTATGAATCTATCATAAAGATGGGTTAGTGCAGCCCATCTGAATAAGAAATACGGTAGTGCTCATTGCATGCAGTCTCCCTCAGTACTGACTCTTTTTCAAGTCATTGTGGACCACTACACTGTATACATTTGTAGCAAAATGCCCAGTTTTTCTTTTTTTATTTATTTTAAAATGCATTCCCTCCCCTTCCCCAACCATTTCTGACTTTTTCTCTCCCTCTCTATTCCCTATAGATAAGTATAAGTAAGCTAAGATGTAGGATAAGCTTTAACATTTTATTTTAGGTAGTAAGTTTTATTTTTTTACTAATTTTGA